GCAGACGCGCGCCAAGGCCGATTTCGAGAAAAGCCTTCTCGATGAGCCTAGGTATCGCGGAACCCGACTCGTCCGGTTGAGGTGTAGAAAGGGGTGAGACTAGACCAAGATCCATGTCCGAGGCCTTCGTTGCGAACCCAGAGGACAGACTGCCGAAGCATTTGAGTTGCACAGACGGTGGGGGAAAGTTCTCCAGACCATTTTGAGTCGCTTCATATTGGGCAACTGCGGCCTGGCACACTTGCTCGATCTTAACCCGAAAAGCTTCCTTCTCAGCAATCTCTCCTCTTTCAATCTCTGCGCCAGCAACGAGAGTGTTGCAGAGACTTTCCAGGTAGGAAGCCTGGTTTTCCAGCTCCTCGGGCCGGACTGGGTGGTGTTGGCCACGCGGGCTGTACAGCTGGCCATGATTGTTCCGTGGAAAACGCGGTGAACCGTGCTCTTGCTGACTACTTGTGTGTTGGTCATGCTGGTATCGGTCAGAGGTGGCGAGGTGTCGATGTCCGTTTTGTCTGGGGGAGCGAGGCGACATGCCGCCTGCAAGGTGAGGCGGCCTGTGGTGCAGGTCTGGATTATGATACGTCTTTACTGGTCGCCCATGAGAGGGTAATCTAGGATTCTCGTGAGGGTGAGAAGGAGAAGGCCAGCCTGTGTAAGGTCGTCCAGCCTCGGTGGGCGGGGATGGGCGAGTGTCAATAGGAATGGACAACTGAGCATTCATCTGTCGTCTCTGCGCCTGGTTGAGTCGCTTCCTGCCCACCTTGGGCGAGGGTGGTGGCTTGCCATTGACTCCGGCTGAAGCTTCGGGAAGGTCTCCATGGGGGTGAAGATGATCGTTCGGTCCATTCGCCGGGGTTCCGCCACCGGGAAAGTGCGCGGTTGTTCGCGAGGCATCTTGAACCTGAGGCTGGCCAGTGGGTGGAGTACCGTTGGTGAGAATCATGTTTCGCAACTGGTCCTCGAGCCCATTGGCCTGAGAGCCACCAAACTGGCCCATGCCGGGGTTCCTGGTGCTATCATTCATGTTTATTGTTGCTTGAAAGTGTTATCATCGAATGTGATGACTTGGACACAGCTGTAGGAAGGGTAAGGCTTCTGTGAGAGTTGATGAGATGGGTGCACTGGAAATAGGCGCAGAGCACTTACCTGGTCAGACACGTCCGGGAGGCATGGCTTGGACAGTTGGATGCAGAGGATTGGGGATTTGGTGGATAGATACGGAGGTGAGTAAGAGTGTTGTGATTGGGAAGCTTGTATTCAGTTTCCGATTGGCGATCACCTCATTCATGTAGGTAGGTGGTGTAAATGGAACTTCAAGTGAGGTGGAAGCTTTACGTGGGGAAGCAGGTACATTCCGGAGTGAGGGGCTACAGTCCCAGGCTTGCAACGCACTGTACGTCAATGGACTCAAGCAGCGGGTCCCTCACTGTACAGATACTGCCGACCGCGAACTGTGAGGTAAGGTATCCCAAGTACCTCTATGTGGATAGCTAAAACCAAGATTTGTGGAATGAATTGGATGCTTGCTATTTATCTCACATATTTCATGGCCTTCCACGGTCTCGTGAAGTCATTGACTGGATTCTCCTATCCATCCCTTTACAGCAGCAAACCTCAAACTCCCCTATCTTGGATGCCGTGATGACTAGATTTGTAACTGTTGCCTGGGTTGGTGCAAATATATGGGCCAGTCAAGGGCGCGCATTTTGATAACGGTTGACGTTGTCGAGGCTGAACATCCTATTAATAGTCAATAGAAATAAGGCATTGATGTCGTGCTTCGAGCCAGGGGCACTCTGCACGCATGTAAGATTGACTCCTTGAAGAAATTGAAGGAAAACTAGGTATTTTAGTCATTGCGACATCTGTCCTTGCTGCTGAAGCTACTTACCTACTGGGTAAGATACAGCGAGTTAAGGACAGTCAGGCCATCCCAATGACGTCCTACCTCAGTGAGGCTCGCCCTTTCCAAATGCGGTTTCCACAGCCACTGGCGAATTGTAAGGCAATGAGGATGGATGACCCGCCCAGGAAAAGTACCTGGCACGCTGGGCTTACTTTTGGCTGATTCATTGGCTGCAAATGTACCGCGCACCAAGATTTTGCTGGCAAACTACAATCGAGCGAGCCTGTACCTCAAGTACCTCAGGTACCTTACCTTAGCACGGTCTCCGCCCAGCTTTTCTGCAAGCTCTCCAAGCTGCCTAGGCAGGTGCGCCTGATTTCTGAGCGCGCCTTCCAATCGTCCGCTCCCGCATGCACCTCATCGTCCAGGCATGCTCTTTGTCATCACCTCGGCCTCTTCACCTTCGCCAATTCATCCGTACTTATCATTTCGCGACTACATAGCCGCCAATCGAGCTAGTCCTCGAGACTTTCTGGCGAACATTGATATCCAACTTTCTGTCGCATCACCGAGTCTACCGTCACCAGCCATTCTCTCTTGCGCCGCGGCCTAGACATCTGGCCAAGCCAAATTCCTGCCTCCGATTCTGACTTGCGCTTGACAGAGACTGCTTGACGACGGAGAAATAAAGCGTCGCTCACTAAAACCATTCCGAGAAACCAACCCACAGGAAGCGCTCTCGACTCTTACGCGCCCGCTGACAGCATGAGCGCGCCGCCACCAGGTCTGCCCACCGGCCAAAACCCGAATGGCCTACCAGGACAGCCTGGGCAGCCTCGTCCTCCTCCGATCAAGCGACGACCCAAGGGCGATCCCCTTGTTGCCCGCAAGCGACCCGGAGCTCCACGACCGGCTGCCTCGCGTCCCCCTCCAGGCTCGCTGCAAACCGCCTCAGGAGCTCGACCAGCTGCCGGTGGAACAGGTCACCACGGCCTTCAGCGACCCGAAACCGAGGAAGATATCAGAGCGAAGAGAGCGGCAAACGGTGGCTGGCTCGATCCCGCGCCCCAGAATGTCAGGGAATTCAAGATTGTAACGACCAAGAAGGCGTTGAAAGATGGTGTCAGACATCACGTTATGAAACTCTCTTCCGCCAAGGCCGAGCTCGAAAGGAACGGCATTGATCCCACAAACCAAGATGAATTCACCCGACCTGTCACGCTTCAACGTCGCGATCCACGACAACCGCCTCCCGGACGCGAAGTCAAGCACGAAGAGCCCGAGCCACAACCAGTTGATGAAAAGGAAGCCGAGCGTTTGGCACAACTCAAGGCCGAACGTGAGGCTGTTCGGGCTGTGGAACTCGCCAAGAGTGCACCCAGTCTGAAAGATCCTAGTCTTGATAAAAAGCCCAAGCCCAAGGAGAAGGAAAAGGATGTCCAGTTCCACCGCCAGCCTCGGTCGGAGAAAGAGAAGAAGCAACAGGGCCTGCGATACGAGGAGGCGCTCCCTTGGCACCTGGAGGACGCAGATGGCAAGAACGTCTGGGTCGGATCATATGTCGCGCCTCTGTCCGAGACCACCGTATGCTTTGTTGCTACTAGAGATGGCAAATTCGCGGCGATACCTTTGGAAAAGTGGTACAAATTTACTGCGAAGCCCCATTTCAATACCATGAGGCTTGAAGAAGCCGAAGCTTTGATGAGTAAAAAGACAGATATCGGCCGATGGTATATGCGCGACAAGCAAAAGAAGAGCGAGCAAGAAGAATGGGAGGCGACCAGACATGCTCTGTATGGCCCTGCGAGAATCAAGACAGAAAGTAGCACCTTCAGAGCTGCTTCTCGGGAAGAAAAGCAGGACCATGACGAAATTGACATGGAAGGCGACGAGTTCCAGGACGATGACGAGAACCCCGGCTTAGACGTGGACAATGACGAGGATACCAAGGAGGCTACTGATCGCATTCGCCGAGATCAAATGGGCGCCAATCTATTTGGCGAGGCTGACGAGCGCAGAGTAGAGAAGGAGTTGAACGAGATGAGGAAAGCCGAGGAGGAGCGCCGCAAAGAGGGAAAGCGAACCACCAAGGCACTCATCAAGAGAGAAAAGGAGACTATCTACCAGTCGGATTCGAGTGGCTACGATCCTTTCGAGTCTTCATCGGTAAGATGCTCAGAGAAGCTGTCAGGTTGTTCTTTTACTAATCGCATGCCTAGAGCGACGATGATTCCGATGAGGAAAAGAAGAAGGAAGAGGAGAAGGACAAGGACAAAGATGAGGAGAACAAGGACAAGGACGGAGACTCCAAAGATAAGACTGCGTCGGGTGTTTCTTCCAAGGGTAACACAACCCCGTCTGGCCGACAGAAACATACCGATGCTCTTAAGAAGGGCAAGTCTCTGAAGCGTCCCGGCTCTCCCAACTTGTCGGAATCTAGTGGCAACGAGTCCTCTCGGAAGAAGCTGAAGAAGCATGCCGCGGCTTCTGTCCATCAAAGCCGTTCGTCCACCCCTTCAGGAGGCTTGAAGAGCCACCTCAAGGGTGCCATGAGCGACGGTGAGGCAACTGGGGGAGAGATGTCAGATGGCCAGTTGAGGAAGAAGAAGATCAAGCTCGTTGGCAGCGGAGCAAGAGGCACGCCAGTCGGCTCGAGGGCCGGTAGTCCTGTCCCCGCAGCATCCGGTAAGCACATTGATTGCGCTCCCCATTCGTAAGAGTATATGCTAATGCAGTTCATAGGCTCCAAGCCCGGCTCACCAGTTCCCGAGGGATCACCCGCGCCCCGTGGTCCCATTCAAGCTCACGAGATTGTTGACGCCCTTCCTGAGCTCCCTGGTGGTATCAGCATTGGTAACCTTATGAGGAGATTCCAGGGACGTATCGGCGATGGCCCTGGCCAGATGGATCGCAAGGAATGGATCAAACTTGTCAAGGAGAACTGTGCCTACGGATCCGACAAGATTCTTCGTCGCAGACCCTAGGCGGTAAAGCCAACATTGTAGATTCTGCTAGCGATCGATCCATCATTTGGATGGAATTCGTCGACGAAGAGTCCCGCGCTGACGTGTCACCCATAAATGAGTAACTTGGATTATCTCACAAGAATCGTATGAGTGAAGCGAGCACAGCTTGGGCGTATGTGGCTAGGTTAAACTAATCATCTTTGAAGATTTTCAAGGAGAGTCGCAAACGCGAACCAGATATCCCAAGAGGCACCGAACAAACGCATCTCCAACCAACAGTAGAAGAAAAACGTCAGGTCGGCAGGACGCCATTCGAGACAGCATATGAAGATGCTCTTTGAGTGTCTTTTACGCTATGAAGTCAATTTTTTGCTCCCCTGATGAAATTACATATCATTCTCATTTCGAAGTTCAAAATGATACAAGCTTAGATATGAACCATCACCTTGATCGTGACTGAAACGCCAATATCATGGGACATCCAATGCTTGAAATCATCGCATTCCGGTGCCATGACCGAACCAAATGTCGACATCCTAGCGCGATCATTCGTCCATCTGCCAGGCGTAGTCGAGCCCCTTATTCCGCTCCCTGCGATTGATCGCCCTGAACCGTTCCCCTTCGAACCCGTTACTCCTATCGACGCCATCCCACCTATACCCCGGCTTGATGCCATACCGATTCGGCGGCGCAGCACCAGCATACACCGGCCGCCTCTTCCCTTTCTTGCCCTTTGCCCCTGCACCACCACCGCCGCCCGTCTTGTCGCTCAAAAACTGCGCCATGGGATCATTCCACCGCTCCTGCTCCTTCAGCTCGTTATTCATCTCCTCGTCGTCCGCCGTCCGCGCAAAGGTCATGAGCTTGGCGTCCTCGAGCGCCTCCCTACGCTTCCGCGCGTTCTCGAGCTGCACGTCGCCCTTGGGCGCCAACCTTGCAAGCCGTTCTTTTTCTTCCGCCTCGAGCGCGAGTTTGCGCGCTTCCGCGCGCTTCATGGAGACGTCGACGCGCCGGCCCGTGGCGTCGCGGTAGACCGTCTCCTCTTCCTTGCCGTGTTTTCGGAGTTTCGCAAACTCGGCTTCTTCGGCTTGTTGGCGGCGGCGGAGCTGTGCTGAGACGGCGGCGGCAGATTGGAGGCCTGCGTGTGTGCCGTCGCTCATTTTGACTACGTTGGCATTGGTGGCTTCGTCGTCGCCTCCTTCTATTACGGGCATCTCGTCGTCTGCGTTTCCTGCTGCTGCGTTTTCTGCTGCTGTCGAGGCGAGGATCGCGTTTGCTGCTGCGGCGCTGTCGTCGTCTTCATTGTTGCCAGTGCCACTGCCTTGTGATTTCGAGGATGCGGCGACGGTCTTCCAATTTGATTTCTTCGTCTTTCTGAACTCGGCCGAGGTTCCTGATACGAGGGCCGGTCCTGATTCTGCGTCGTCGTCTTGTGCGGTGGAGTTGCCCCAGCCGTTGTCGTCGTCGTCTGCGATGATGAGGCCTTGGGTCTCGGTGGGTTGTTTGCGCTTGCGTTTCTTGGTGGGTTTCGGATCTGCTACTAAGTAATTTTTTGCAAGATATGATGAGAGGTCGGAAGGCATTGTCGGATGTGGCCTTTTCAGGCACGAGAAGGTTGGAAATAGGTTTCTTTTTGGGTGGTTTTGGTAGTAATGAGAAGATCTATAATAAATCCAAGATATCACAGGTAAGCTAAGACTGAGATATCGACGTCGTTGCACATCAAAAAGATGCACGGACCTTGATGGACTAGAACCAGAAAAGCAGGGGCCGCGGACCGACAAGGGTCCCCCCACTCTCCCTCGTCCCTTCCACGAATGGACGTGCATGTGACGGGGCGCTAGTTACTTATCGGAGGGTTGAGTGGTCTCTCTCTCTCGCGCGAACCTGACAATGACGGCTTCTGGCTTGTAATTAGGCCAGCTGCAGCGTACAGTACAACTGTGCCATCGTCGCGGAGCCAGTCTTTGTACGCCATCTTTTTCTCTCCTGCTTCACAGTTTATGTTTGCTGACCTCTTCCTGAAAGTCCTAGACTGCGCCGAACATTCGTTCATTTCTGCGATCCACCGCCGAGCCCCCTACTAATTACGACGCCAAAAGCCATCGGGCGGAGTTACGAATGCTCCAACACTGCCGAACGTCCGATATATAAGCCACTGGCTTCCACTCATCTGACAGGATCAAGGCACAGGTTATCGGTCTTTTCCGACTGATACACCTCACCCAGCCTTGATCATGCAGTCCCCAGACAATGAGGCCTCGCCAATCGAGTCGCTCCCCGCCATGCCCATGGCCGCCTCGACTGGGAGACCGCCCAAGAGGCAGTCTGTGCCCGAAGGCCACCCGCTGGCACAATCCGAGGTCACGTTACCATATCGAAGGTCTAATCCTTCTGTCGCGCCGCTCTTCGCTTCCACTTTGACGCCTCCCGGATCACGGTCAGGGTCTCCCATGGGGCGAGGCTCCCCGGCCCGAAGCACAATGTCCGGCTCCGTCTTTGGTGGACCAGCAGCTCGCTCGCTGATCGAGAATGCTTCCGACAGTCCTGGTGACCCGCGCAACTTGATCATGAAAGCCTACGTTCCGCACGTTGCGATCTACGCCTCGCCAGATACCGAGGAGCTCGCGACCGACAAGGGTTTCAAGAACGGATTGTGGGAGCTTCTGCGCCCTTTCGGAGAACAGGTCCAGGGCAAGGTCACCATCAGAGACAGCAACGGTGCGAGTAGATCATGGGAGGACTACTCCGTTCGGTTCACCAAGTTTGGGGACAACATCGAGCACCCTGGTTCGAACGCCTCGCAAGGCACGCAATCTGCGGCGACCAACGGACAAGCCGGATCTGCCTCAAAATCGAGGAGCCACTACGACGACGTTGAAGCGGTGGTGGACAGCCATCTCTCGTACGCCGAAGAGTCATTTCTCAACACCCCGCACCACGGATTGACGAGACAGGGCCTAGACGTGGAGGCTACTTCCCCATACTACTCATTATACTTGCGGAGACTCTTATCGGGTATACCCGTGTCACCTCACGAGACCTTTGCGCATCCAGTGGCCTGCGTGATTGCTATCAGCTCGCGGAGTCCATCACCAATAGAAGATCTGCGCAAACTTTACAATGACACGAGCACTGGGGAGAACAGACTGCCAGTGTGGGTAGACGGTGACTATCTTCGATACTACGTTTTGGTACATGATGAAGAACGCGACGACGTCACCCGGTCACTGGCCTTATTCGATCAAATGAAGCGTCATCTCGGCCTACACTGCCACTTGCTACGGCTGAGAAGCACGCAAAGCGCAGAGACCGATGATGATAGCATACCTCTGCCGCGCAGCGACTGGATGTCAGCGGCCGAAGAACTCAAGGACATTCGAAACAGCGAGGAACGAGAAGACTTCGAGGACCCGACAAGATACATCTTCGAGTCGGATGCCACGGCGATCCGCACTTTTGTGAGAGAGATGGTTACGCAGTCCATCATACCTACCATGGAGCGCCATGTATCGCTGTGGAACGACCAAGTCGCATCTCGTAGGAGAGGAATCACGGGAAGGTTCATGAACTTGTCGCGGAAATGGGGAGGCTTTGGCAGCAGCTCGAGGAATTCCGTCGTGGGAGGTAGCGGGTCATCAAGCGCTTATGATGCGCTCGGATTCTACCGACCAGACGCTTCAGAAGCCATCATGCGAAAGCTAGCCGACTTCGCCTTCATGCTCAGGGACTGGAAACTAGCGCACTCAACATATGATCTCCTGAGGTCCGACTTCAGCGACGCAAAAGCCTGGAAGTATCACGCAGCAGCCAACGAAATGGCCGCCGCCAGTCTCCTCATCATGCCGCAAAACCTGCCTTCCAAATCCCGCGCCGAAACGATCGACCAGATGTTGGAAGCCGCCTTTTACTCTTACTACACACGTTGCAGCTCTCCATTTGGAGCACTGAGATCCTTGACGCTTGGAATCGAGCTTCTGCGGCTTAGGGGCGGCAGTAGCGTCGATGACGCCGTGAGATGGGGCATTCGGCTTCTCGACTCTAAGATCCTCGGTCCCGTCGGCGATGCTCTCATGAAGGAGCGACTCGCCGTCTGCTACGCTTCGAAACCAGGCGTCGGCTCTGGCTCATGGGGCCACCGGAAGAGAAAATCGGCCATGTGGTGTATCCTCGGCGGCGAGGCATGGGACCTGCAACAGAAGTACATACAGTCCCAGCGGTGTCTCAATGAAGCCTCACGGATCTACTCGGAGCTCCCGCACGAAAATGGCGTCTCCAAATTCAGCCTTGCCAACGAATTCGTGGCAGGCCTACAGCATCAGCTCGATGAGAAGCTCGACGTGGACGATGGAAATGGAGGCGACGAGTCCCCATCACAAGACGTGGAGGAGGTTCTCGTTGAGGAGAGCGAGACTATGGATTTCAGGTCAAGAAGAACGAGTATGATGGGTCGTGGAGGAGCACCTGTCGCAAGCCTTGAGACTGCGCCATTGCATGAGCTTGCGTCACCTGTCAAAGAGAAGGGTGATGGATCGGTGCAAGACGAGTTTGGCTAACACGACTTGGATCAGTTGGAGTGGCGGAGGTGCAGCAATGGGTGAATGAAGTGATTAGTAGATGCGTTTACGAAGCGGATTAATAGCATTTACAGCCACTGTCCCTGTCTCTTCTAAGTTTTGTTGTCCTTGCACTGCGATTGTTCATTTCTTTGACCAAGACGAATTGTATAGTAGACGGCAGACAAAGTAAAGCATGCAGCCAGAAGTCATGCCTGCGTCTTCTTCCTTTGGTACCCCAAATGCTCATTTAATCTGAGGTATATGTCTAAAAGCCATCGTTTCTTCATCATTCCTTCTACCTGCCTTACTCATAGTTAGACCTGATGCTCAAGTGTTGTATAAATGTCGTTTGATGGCATCTTCTACGCCAAGGTGGTTCTCAGTACGTACCTGCGCTAGCCCCTGCTCGAGGTCAGGCACCTGGACACACTTGTCACTGGGGACCCTTGGACCCAGCAATGATCTCACCAGCAACCGATAGGAGGAAGACACCGCTGAACCCGCCCCGATAAGGCAGCTTCCCCCACTGTCCCGCCAAAGCAACTGCTTCTCTCCTGCTTCGTTTGGGCTCGCCGGGAAGTTTCTAGGCCTCGCGGAGCACGACAGTTCTATTTTGCACCTATTCCTGATTGTATTTTTCTTTGCCCGTTCGAAATCTACTTCTCTCCCTCGTCACTGGGACCTTTTGAGGAGATCCCCCACTCCAGCCGACCTGAGGTCGAAACGCAGCTACATACTTTCGACAGAACCTATTGTGAGGTCTCTCGCCAGACCCCGACGTCACTCGGCCAATATGGGAGAGCTCGCCGACTTTCTGGTCGAACGCGACCAGAATTTTCGCAAGTTCGTGCTTCTCTTACTCATAACCCATCCATACCCCCCAAGCTCGGAGCTCAGCCGTTTGCTAACGCCCTTACCTGCGCAGAGCCCGTTTGCCAGCCCTCTACTCCGACTTCCGCCCCCAACGAAGCCTCAACCCAGACGGCTTCCAAGCCAACGTCAGCGCCTGGCGCCAGGCCCTCGCCCGCGCAGCATGGGAAGGCCGCATCGCCTCGCAGCTCTCGGCGCCGAACCTGTTAGTGGTCAACGTCGACGAGCAGCTCGTGCGGTCCCTCGAGAGCAAGCAATTCGGCCGACCCCTCGCGCTCGGCACCGTTGTCAGGGAGGCTGTCGCCGACAAGGACCTGTACCCGCTCGACGAGTTCACAAAGGCCAAGGAGAGCATCTATGCGGGCAAGACATGGGCGCAGGTGCCGTGGAGCGTGGTCTCGTGGGCGGCGGGACAGTTGTTTGGAGGCAAGTCGACTTCGGGCGAGGACAAGGTTCCGCAGGGGCGGTTTGTGGTGTTGAGGAATGTCGAGGCCACGGCGAAGAGTCTTGCGGAGAAGGTAACCTCTGCGGATTCGAGGTTCGACAGGACGTATACGAAGACACATTTCCAAAAGACGTTTGCGGATACGCTGGTGCAGGATCGGAGGTTATCAGAGACGGACGTCAATATCCTGCTAGTCTTCCTCTCGCGGGACAAGGGGATCGTGGTCTACGACGGGAAGGTGGTTAAGATCAAAGGGTCGAGCACGGACGAAGACGAGACGACGATCACAGAGGAAGACGCGGCCGTCTCGTCGCTCAAGGAACTGATTGCCGACATGAAGCAGCAGACGGCCCTCCTCACGTCCCGCGTGGACGAACTCGCGGTGACAGCCAAAGAAGCCGTGGTGAAGAAGAACAAGGTGGCCGCGCTGGCGGCGCTCAAGTCGAAAAAAATGACCGAGGCGTCGCTCGAGAAGCGCTTCGCGACGCTGAACCAGCTCGAGGACGTGGCGGCGAGGATACAGGAGGCGCGGGACAATGTCCAGCTCGTCAGCGTCATGGAGGCGAGCGCGGGCGCGCTCAAGGGGCTCAACGAGAAGGTCGGCGGCGCGGACCGGGTTGGGGACGTGGTGGACCGGTTGCGGGAGCAGATGGGCGAGGTGGACGAGGTGGGCAAGATTATCTCCGAGGCTGGTGCCGCGCCTGTGGTGGATGAGTTTGAGGTGGATGAGGAGCTCGAGGCTATGGAGCGCGAGGAGAGGGAGAAGGTTGAGGCGGCGGAAAGGAAGGAGAGGGAGGCGAGGGAGGAGAGAGAGGCTGAGGAGACGAGGAGGAGGCTTGAGGCCGAGATGGCGGATTTGAAGACGCCTGTTGCGGAGCCTTTCGAGAGGCAGGACGCCAAGTCGCCGACGGGGGAGACGGCGGAGAGTTTGGAGAGGATGGGGCTTGAGGAGAGGGAGAGAGAGCGAGAGAAGCCGATGCCTGCTCAGTGAGAAGGGAGGATATCACATCACATTGGCGTTTCATCACGCATTTGTATTAATGAACCATTAGGGGTTAGATCATGGCGTTTCTTTGCTGGTTTTTGTATTGAAGCAAAGTCTGTATATCTTACAGTCGGCAGGGTATAGTAACGAAGAAAGCGCTATGTCATGCAACTACCACGCAGAATGTCACCGCGCCTCCTGACCGCTGGGTATCTGCGGCTCTGAGAAGCCGTCCTGCAGGTAATATGTGGATGCTGGGACCTGCGGTTTGAGTGCCGGATTGTCAACCTGCATCATGGATCCCAGGGGACCGTCCTCTACGCCGCCTGCTCTGGAGGTATCTGTTGGTTGCTCTGTCAGATCGATCACCGCCGCGTCACCCCTCTCTGAATCCACCTGGGGAGCACCAGTCTCTTTTGAAGCAGCCCCGCCATCTTCTGACTTTGGAGAAGCTGTCTCCTTTTCCTCCTCCTCGCTCTTCGGCTTCGCCTGCGCTCTGGACTTGCGGGCATTCGCAATTAGATCCTTGAACGAGGTATCATGCTTTACCGCCCAGGCGACGCCATCAAATTCCTTGTCCTTGACTGCGACGCCCGGCTTCACAAACATGGCCGCCTTGGAGCCCTGCGTACGCTCCCACACGTCGAGGTCGTGCAGCAGCTCCGTCCTCCGCTTTGGTCGCGCCGAGTCGCAGTTTGCGTTCCACAGCGTCACCCACTCCTTATGTCTCTTCTCTAGTTGAACGCGGCCGCCTGTGACGGAGAGGCCGAGATCTGACATCTTTTTGCGGAGGGCGACGTCTTTGAGCATGGAGTAGGCGAGGGCGGGGAGGCGTTCCGGGGGCGGATGCGATCTGCTGGGGCCGGCGCCGCGGGCGGGTGTGTTTGGTGTCGGGGTACGGCTTGCGCTCACGCGGCCCAGGGCCGTTTGTTGCTGTTGTGGAGGCGGTTTCGAGCCGTCGCAGGTATCGAGGTGGCGGAAGACTTGGGCTTCCTTCATACGGGTGCTACATATGGGGCATGGGACCAGGCCATCCTCGGCAGCTGGGAAGGATTTGTGTTAGAAGGGTTGTCAAGTGAAGTACTTGGGAACAGCTTACCAAAATCTGCGTCCTCTGACTCGTTATCCTCCTGTACTTCCTCCATCTCATCGACTTCATCGACCTCGTGCACCGGCGCGGCTGCAGCCTGTGCAGATCTCGTCCTGCTGAGCCTTGCTGAACTCCGAAGGCGCTTCGTCTCTGGCTGCTGCTCGCCGTTCTCCTCAGCCAGCCTCCTTTTGGCCGCACTGCCACTGGGTTCTCGCTGGTTGTTTTGGCTAGCCGTTCTGGCAAAGTGTAGCGTATCCTTCCTGGCCTTGACGAACGAGTCGACAACCTCCTCGAGAGACCAATTACTCCTCAGCTTCAACTCCTGGTCCGAGGCGCGACAGAGAGGGCACTTGCCGTCGTTGGACAAGGCGCGACGGATGCAGAGGGAGCAAAAGGTATGGCAGCACGATGTGACCATTGGTGTCTTGAAGAAGTCCTTGCAAACCTGGCATCGTAGCGAGGCTTCGACTGCTGAGAGGGCGGGGAGGGGTGTAGAGAGCCAATCTGTTGAGTCTGGGACATCCTCGAAGTTGTCTGCCATTGTGGGCGACTGGACTGGTGGATTTGTGGCAGAAGTCAAGCGTGAGTAAGTATCTGTATATTCGGCGGCGATCGGTACTCTCGAGGCACAAGTCGCTTGGAAAAGACTTGGGGTGTCTGAGCTGGCGATTTGGGTGAAGGCCTCGAGCAATAGTAACAAGGATGTACAGAGGCGAAGGCTTCAGTGAACTTTTGGAGCGGATGGGAAAGTCGCGTCGAGTGGCGCGCTCATTGGGAAAGTGTCAGGGATTTGAAGACCGGGGGGTGTTGAGTTAGTGGATAACGTCACCAATCGCACTCTTCTGAATGGCCCCAGCAGGGGGGGTGTGCACAGAAAATCAATTAAGAGAAAAGAGTGGGGTCGCGTCTATGTCTTTGGCCCGACGCGTCTTCTCAGAGCAGGTAGCTACCTCACCACCTTGTACCTTCTTCACAGGGAATCATCGTGACAACACCCTGCAAAAGGTGTCGCCTTGTTCTTTGACGAGCTCCAATCACTTCACATTGGGCCACTTCACAGTCTATCGGGAGAACAGTCAAACAACTTCACCATGGACGAATACAAAAAGTATCTGGCAGACCAGATCCTGAGTGAGGAGAAAATTGTAAGGCACGACATTCTCATGATGACCGTCAAACCGGTGCTCACTGATATCCCAGGTCACATATCGAAGCCTCAGCAGGGCACTCAAGGTTCATGTCAACACAGCAAAAGGGTCAGTTCAAGGACCTTCATTCCACTGACTAGTGCAACAGCTCCTAACCGTTTGATAGAATGCTCTATGACTTCCACCGGTCACAAAATGGGATGCGCCCTGGCACAATCCATGCAACCTACCTGATCTATGGAACCCAATCAGCACAACAAAAGGTCCAAGATGATGGCGATGTTGAAATGACCAGCTCGCCCCCTGACGTCGAAACTTCTGAAGATGTTGTCACCCACTCCATGTCTCTTGTCCCTGGCGACCTCCTGAAGGGTAATTAGAAGTTTTTTGTTCCCACTGTTTTCTCACATCACTGACCTTTCTTAGACACTCTGGCCACTTACGAAGAGGTTACTTCATTCCATATCTACAGTTTGGCGAGGCATCCTACCAGGGTAGGCCCTCATTCTCCTCCGTCTAGTGACAACCATTGACCAGTGCCCCAGGACTTGCAACTTCTAGCAGACGTTCATCAGCAAATCAAGGAGCAGTCGACGAATGAGAGTGGATCCATGGCAGAGACATACGGTACCATTACCAATCCCAATGTCCGCAAACGCACCCGCCAAGGAAGAGGACCAGTACCTACGCCTGCTGCTCCAGCACCGGCGGCCAAGCCTATCAAGAAGGAGCCAGCACCTCCCGCCGTCAAGCCCGCAGCCCCTAACTCCAAGGCAGAGTTACCCGTCAAAGAAGAGGCCAAGACGCAAACCACAGAGACACCCACGTCCACGGCGGCAACGAAGAAGGGCGCGGCGCCACCAGCGTTAAAAAAGAGTGGCTCATCTGGCATTTCGGGCATGTTTGCCAAAGCCGCAGCCAAGGCTGCAAGCAAGCCGAAAGAGGCCCCGAAACCGGCACCCGTTGAGACACCCGCATTATCTGATGATGGCGAGGATGACGATGAAGACATTCCCGCCGCAAAGGCCCCGGCCAATTCTGGAAGAAAGTCACGAAAGGACCGCGAGGCTGAGCTGAAGATGATGATGGAGGAAAGCGAGGAAGAGGAAGAGCCCGAAGAGAAGGAGGAGGACGAGCCGATGGAGGAGCCGATGGAGGAGGCTCCCGAGCCACAAGCGAAACCTGAACCAGCGGAAGTCGTTTCTAGCACCGGGGACGGCCGTCGGCGTGGCAAGCGGAGAGTCATGAAGAAGAAGCAGATTATGGACGACCAGGGCTACCTTGGTAAGTTTGGCAATACTCCCTTAACATTTTCTCAAAAGCTAACAACAGTCTACTAGTCACTATCCAGGAACCTGCTTGGGAAGAGTTCTCTGAAGACGAGGCACCCCCGCCGCCCGCAAAGGTGGCCAAAACTTCATCTGCGCCAAGTTCTGGAAGCCAAGCTGCGAAGCCGAAGAAGCCTGCTCCCAAGGGACAGGGCAACATCATGTCCTTCTTTGCCAAGAAATGATTGCCGCGGAACGATTTGGGGGCTCATGTCAAGAGGCTTGATGGAGACTTGGCATGAAAGAAACAGGAGAGAAACGTTGTCTGAAGAACAGCTCTAGAGTTTCACAGTAAAGCAAGCTGTCACATGCAGATATCCGCGATTCGTCCAACGATTGTGTTACCAATGGATATCCTATTGGCTATTAGTGCGGGCAATGACTGCCTCTAGACCACAGAGGTTGAAATAGCACTGGCGTGACTTGGAAAAACAGCGCCGGCCCGGGAGCGGCACGGACGCCGGAGGTCGCCCCGCGTCACCCCGCAGTGGGCCCGAGTCGTCAAGATGCGACGCTAAAATACGCAACCCCGGTCAGAGCTCCTGCAAGGGACCACAGTGACGCTGCGGCATCCCCCAAAAGACGCAGCGGACACCTGGCTGGCAGGGAGCTCGTCGTCCTATTTTCCGCGTCAATCCAACGTCGCACATTGCTTCGTAACACGATCGCTTTTTTGTTTCTGTTCCTGGACCCTACCACGCTCTCTCTACACTGCAAAGAGTATTCTCGGCGATTGATACCCATGCGGACATAGACTCAAATTTTGTTCTGTTTTTTCCCTCACGTCCCTTTTTCTTGCCAGGCCACATTGCTCTCGCAGCCATGTCCTTACGCACAGTATTTGACCTGCTGCTACCCCTGGGTCTGCTAGTCGGCCAGACCTACGCGGCGCAAGAACCTCTGACAGGCGAGGATCGCGAAGCATGTCCAAACTATGCGCAGTATTCCACGTACCCCCAGTGAGTTTGCAACTCTGGCCTTGGTCTGTCCACTTGACATCACGAACCAATGCTAAGACTCTGTGTGTGTCGCCAGTAAGCCCCTGAGCGAAGGCCCTCTTGGCTTGCCCTACCAACGACCCGATCCACGATGCCGTACTTTCCACTCCGATGCCATCGAGAAGGTCATCAAGGATGTCACATCCAGAATGAAGGACCCCGACCTGGCCAGGCTATTCGAGAACGCGTTCCCTTCCACAACGGACACCACTGTCAAGTTCCACACCGATGGCACCGATACAAGATTCGTTGATCTCAAGGGCCGTAGCATGCGCGACGAGGGAAAATGGGAGGGACCGCAGTCCTTCATCATCACAGGCGACATCATCGCCGAGTGGCTGCGCGACAGCACGAATCAGCTCTCACCCTACCAGGCGCTGGCCAAGAAGGATCCCGCCATCTTCAAGCTGATCCTAGGCGCCATCAACACGCAGGCCGAGTACGTCATCGAGTCGCCGTACTGCAACGCCTTCCAGCCCCCTCCGATCGCGAACCTGCAGCCGAGCCACAACGGACAGGACGACACGGTACACCCCATCTACGAGCCCTCGTTCGTGTTCGAGTGCAAGTACGAGCTGGATTCGCTGGCGCATTTTCTCGCGCTGGGCAACGACTTTTACGAGCACACCGAGTCCAAGGATTTCATGACGGGCAGGTGGTTCATGGCTCTCGAGACGGTGCTTAACGTCCTGGAGGAGCAGTCCCGCTCCACGTTCGACCCGGAAACAGGCCGCTTTCAGAAGAACGAGTACACCTTCCAGCGCAAGACGGACGCGGGCACCGAGACGCTGAACCTCAAGGGCGTCGGCAACCCGCTGAACAACGGCACGGGTCTCGTGAGGTCTGCCTTCCGGCCCAGCGACGACGCCACGATCCTCGGCTTTTTTATTCCGGCAAACGCCATGATGGCCGTGGAGCTGAAGCGCACGTCCATATTCCTCAAGGAGGCCGGCAAAGATGTCCTCGCGCAGACGGTGGATAAGTGGAGCCAGACGATTGCTGATGGCGTGTGGAATAACGGCGTTGTCAAGCACGCCAAGTACGGAGACGTCTTTGCGTACGAGGTTGACGGGTACGGTTCCTCCATCCTCATGGATGATGCAAATTACCCGTCGCTGCTGGCGCTTCCTCTCATGGGTTTCTTGCCTGCGGATGATCAGACGTACAAGAACACCAGGAAGATGCTCTTGGAGAAGACTGGCAACCCCTACTACCTCGAGGGCGCTGCGTTCCACGGAATCGGAGGTGGGTTTTTGTCGTGATGCGTCGGAAGTGTTGAAACTTACAAAATATGCAGGACCCCACATTGGGCTCTCCAACGCCTGGCCGATGAGTCTTTTGATCCAGGCGCAGACATCCGAAAATGACCAAGAAATCACCGAGTGTCTTGACTTTGTCTTGAACTCTGCCAAGCTCGGTTTGGTTCACGAGAGTGTTGATGTTGGCCGCATTTCTGCCTATACCCGTAAGTCTCACTGAACCATTCGTCACAATTACCTCGCTAACAACAGGGAACAGGAAGCTGGTTCGCATGTAAGATACTCGACTACCGGACTCTAATTACAGTGTGGATGGTGATGCTGACTTGCAATAGGGGCTAACGGCGTCTTTGCCGAGACGATTCTCGACCTGGCTAAGAGGAAGCCTCATCTCATCTTTACTGACGCAAAACCGTATACCATCTGAACGTAGCATTTACTTTCGGGCATGGCGTGTTGGGTGCGGGGGCGGTTAATCAGCTGATCGCAACATGGCATGGGAGGTGGTGACCGGCATCTTTGCTGCATCAATAGATTTATATCCGCTTCTAAAGAGTTGCGAGATGATTGAAGACCAAAAAAATAAACAAAGTGTGTCCAGATAACATAAGGCAGAATCAGGCTCAGATATATTTACCACAGCGGAGGCAATGAATGGCTCGTAATGAGGGCTATCAACCAATTAATCTTCCCCGGACACTTACCATTCACCTGATGTCACTCTGGACGAGTTAGTGGGATGCATCCTACTCAGCCTGCATATCATATATATCCAGGAAGTTCGCCTCGTAACGAGTGTGAACACAAATCTTCTACACACCTTAGATATTTTCTAGCAAGGAAATACTAGCCTCGCCAATTAAAAAATCATTGACCACAGCGTTCTCAGGAGATGAATTCTACCCCATGGAGCTGATCGTTCTTCCTGGGAAATTCTTATCGATCGTCGTTGTGATCCGCCTACCTATCACACATCCATGCTCTCCCGTCAACGGTTGTAAAGGGGAGATGTCCATTGAGAGGCCGGAGGAAGGGTTGTCTAAGCAGAAGGCTGAATTCGCTGCAGTGACGGAGACATGCACGAAATAACCGTTCGGAAGTTTGGTATCTACGATGAGGCAATCATAGTAATAAAGTAGTACACTGTACAGCATTTCATAATCATGATTAGGTACATTAGCATTATTCCCATCTCCTTGTCGGTGTCTAGAAATACACCATGAATAAGGCAGCGGTTACAGCTCGAGACGGAAAAGGCCTGCTTTATATATCCATTCTCGAACCCCGTGTAAAAATGTGGATAGAATGTGAATTTGGATGAACGGAATCAATGCATGGAAGGGTGGATGGATGGTGACCGTACATGATGAGGACGTTGCTTATTTTTCGGGAGGGGATTATTTCGTGAGATCATTTTGTGGGGTACCTAGAACTATTTCTTATAAGCTTCCCTTCCTCCTGATAAACCTAGAACCTCGCTTATACACACATAGACAGATCACATAAGAGAGACCAGTTCCCCCTGAACTGCCAGTATAGAACCTCATTCCTTCGACTACGATCACCTCGCATACTTCGTAAAGTGAAACAGAGGCTTCGAAGCCATGCTTGAACCCAGGAATTCTAGATGTGGAAGGGTGACTAACCGAAGAACCTCGATTGCAAAATTGCTTTGCTTGGGCACAAAACACGCGCCGTATCAGATACGGCTATGTAGACTCGGCTCCTACTATGACGGCGCCTTGGCTAGTAGTCAAGTCAAATAGCCGCGTGCCCGTGTTGCGCATGCCCACCGGCTGCGCGGTCTTGTGGTCCAGTATAAATGAGTTGAGCTTTTTGACAGTGAAACTTACCGGCTCAGAAATATGAGGGATGGTACTCTCATTGGTTGCCTGCTCAGGAGGCTAGTAGAACTCAGTTGTGGAGTATCCGTGCTCGGTTTGTTCTGGGAGACAACTTGTCTATGCCCGGTCATCAGTCAGCCTCCTTCGTTATAATGATCTGTTAAACCTATCTTTCAAACGTTGCCCTCTCATCATCGAAGCTCATCGCCGTTGGAGTATACGTCGGAATACGCCGTCGATAGTCAAGGCTGATGAGCGAGAGGTGTTGGCTCGGACATTTGCTTTTGCATCCTTGGTTCTATTTTGCTCTGCCCTACTCGCCCGAACTTCGTCGCCGTTATGCATCCAGGGTGGATCTTATGAGACTTTGCCCACTCGAAATTGCGCTTGCAAGTCCAAGTATCCAAGGTCGGACAGGGCGAGCTTCTTATACTCCCTACCCTTAGGAAGATCAGCGAATACCATTGATATGATCAACGTCCCCATAAAGAGGTCTGGTCGTATAATCTGCTTATTACTGAACCTGACGACGCGTCATTTGAATGTGGCCAAACAAAATAAAGCTTCAAAACTTAGGGCGCGTTGTCTGCAAGTCCCTGGCATCAATGGTAGCATATCATCATGGCTGGCCTACATGTCAATGGTCTGATTTAGTATACTCTCAGCCTTGACTCGAATACGTGTCACACACAGGCAGAATCAGAGGCAAATAAGCATTGGACGATCATGAAGACCTCGTGATATTCGAGTGTCTCTGTCTACATCTATGCCCATCATCGACGAGCAAGGCCTATATGGCCAAACGCCCCAACTCCCAAGCTTGACAAATGACCCAAGCTCTACAACACAATCCCCTCCAAGGCTTCACAGACGAAGTCCAAAATGTCGCAGACAATACTTTCAGCTTTTTGTTTTCTTTCTCGTCAGAATCATTCATGCGCACGGTTTGCAACCACTTCAACTCAGAACTCCTCAACAGCGCAGTTGGGATGCAGAACGTAGACAATAGTCGCCGGCTCCACAGGTCCAGAAGAAGTACCCTCTGCAGGCTCGTCGTCGTCTGCCAAGCCTTGGCCGCGGACAGCCATGAGGATGTTTTCCTGCAAATTCGAATTAGTCTTGATTCCCTGCGAAAATGTTCCGACGCAGGGATACCACATACCTTGACCATCCTCTTAAGAACCTTCTTCGCCAACGCCTTCTCAGAGTCGTGCTCCTCGACGCTGTTGAGCTCATCCTCCTTCTGCTCCAAGTACCACTCGACTAGCGCCTCGCCCTCAACGCCCTCGCCGTTCTCGGCCTCGGCTTCGTTGACGTGCTCCACAATCAAGTTGACCATGCTCGAGTACTTCTCGAACGTAATGGTCTGCTTGACCCTGGCCGGTGCAGGCGTACCCTCTGGTCTATCGACGGCCATTTCGTCATCGGCCGGCTGACCAGCCGCTTCAGATGCCGCGCGGAGGAGCGCCGCACCTTGCTCGGGTGCCTCCTCGTCGTCAACTTCGACATCGTCATGCTCAACAGAGATGATACTCTGCCTGAGTAAATCGAAGGCCTGGGCAACCATGTCGGGAGTAATTACACTCTCGCAGCTGCCCTTGGCGATGGCCTCGGACAAGCGAATCATACTCTCCAGCTGACGAACAGTGATACGGTACGAGTTCTTGCCAATGCCGCCCTGCGCGTCATCTGCGCGGAGCTCCTTGTACTTCTCGACAAGGTATTCCTTGGCCTCAGGAGAGAACTCGGGGCGGAAAGCACGAGCGAAACGAATGAAACGCTGGATAGTCTCGGTGCTGTACTCGGGCTCGATTGCCTCGTCGCGGAGCTGGTGGATTCCGACAATGTGCTCGGCAAGATGTCGGTCAATAGTCTCATTACACTCATCGAGCACAACGAAGAAGAGATCAAAACGAGACATGATGGGAGCGCTCATGTTAATGTTGGCGCGAAGAGTCGTCTTCCTGTTGTACCGGCCGCCAACAGGGTTAGCGGCGGCGAGGATAGAGGTGCGGGCGTTGAGGGTGGCCTGGATACCAGCCTTGGCGATAGAAATTGTCTGCTGTTCCATGGCTTCGTGGATGGCGACTTGGTCGGCAATGTCCATCTTGTCGAACTCGTCAATGGCGCAAATACCATTGTCTGCCAACATCAGAGCACCAGCCTCAATCGTGAAGTCTCCAGTCTCTTCGTCCTTGACCACAGCGGCTGTAAGACCAGCAGCAGAAGACGCCTTACCACTGGTGTAGACAGCGCGGGGTGCAAAGCCACAGACGTATTTGAGGAACTGAGACTTTGACGTGGAAGGATCACCAACAATGCAGATGTTGATGTCACCTCTCAGCTCCATGCCCTCGGCAGTGGTTTTGTGCACACCAGACAAAAGCTGAAGCAGGATACCCTTCTTGATCGTGTTGTGGCCGTAGACTGTTGGCGCTATGGAGGCCACCAAGCGATCAAGAAGGTTTTTCTCGCTCACGAGCTGGCGCAGCTCTTCGATCTCGGCAGGGTTCCAGCCAGCAACGATCGCAGCTTGAATATCGTCCACTGATTCCGAGGTGTCGTTGGCGTTGTTTTGTGTCAAGGAGCTGATAACATCTGCAACCTGCCCGCTCGCCGTCTGGCCCAGATTTGAGGTGTCGGGAGTGACCATACACGCCAGGAATGCCATGCGGTAGGTCAGATCGCGAACACCCAGAGCCTTGAGACCGGTGACGCCAGAGCCGCCAGCATCAGTACCGGCAGCACGGTTGTCGTCACGAATGGTGCTTGGCCTCAAGCCAGGCAGACCCATTTGGCTTACATCCGGCACGACGATAAGCGCACCGGTGAAGATGCACTTTTCTCCCGCCTTGGCCCGATCCACAATCTCTCCACGCAAGATGACGTCCATTGTTCTCGGCATGCTTCCCGTGGGAATCTCTGAACTGTTTTCTTGGATACGCACCTTCTGCCAGTCGACAAATGTGCTGTGGCGGATATCGAGCTGCCACGCTTGGCGGTTCTGGCAAGTCATGTTGGGGCACTGGGTGGGTTCGGTGTATCTGAAAGTCTGTTCCACGTTGGGAACAACCGTTCTGCAAGCCTCGCAAACAAATGTGCCGAGTGAAAGCTCAGGGCGCACTTCTGACGTTCGCGTCACCGTGCCGGAGATGGAGAGCAGCTGGCCAATGTTGGTCGACCTAAGACTGCGCACTCTTGAGATTAGGGGCATGTTGTAGAAGGCGATGGTGAAGAGCTTGTCTGTCTGCTGGTTGGCCGTCTTTTCGCCCATATCCGTCTGGCTCGCAGAACCAAGCTGGCTTGCGGTTGAGTTGGTCGGGTTGCTTGAGGATGTCGGCTGCCTGTGTTCGCGGAAGTACTGCGGCTCGTACTTGGCGATCATGTTGTGTAGCGCAGCCGTGAGGAAAGGCAGGAATCGGTAGTAGCCGCGCATGATACCATCACCTAGCTCTCCATTGGTAAATGTGGTCAGATGCTTGAAGTCGACGTAGAATGTTGAGAGCTGGTATGTCCTCATGCCGTGGATCTGGGCGACATAGTACTTGTCTGTCGTGGCAGCGCTGGATGTCGGCGGGGCAGAGGAGCTCGGTTCCTCCACGAATCTACAAGCAATTGAAGTCAGAACGATTGCCTACAGGATCCAAGAGAAGATAGAGAAGCGACTCACGTTTCAATGAAGGTCTCAAAGTGGTCCTGGACCATGAGACCAATTCTGTCCTCCACGCGGGGAATGTTTGCAGCATCCGGTATCCTTGATCCGCGGGGAACTTGGTCGTCGGCGAAGCCCTCGGCCTCATCGTCACTCTGGGCGCCCATGCTCTCGGAGGGCGGCGCCCGTGGTCTGCCGCCGACGGATGAGGATGGCATGAAGGAGCGCTTAGGGGTAGCCGCCGAACGGGACGGGGCGTCCGACATTAGTAGGCCGGCGTCGCTGGAGGGAGCCATGATTAGTGTCGTATCTGTTGCGACTGAAGAGTGTTGTCGTTTGGGATGTCGCAAGTCGACAACAGGTTGATAGTGCGCAAGCGGTGGTTGCTAGGCAGAGATGCGGGATGTTGTTTTTTGGTGGAGGTGGGATTTTGGGTGGTGGGATGCGATGGAGCCTTTTTCGCATTGGGGAGGCGGAGACTTGCTCACTCAGGGGTCTTAATTGATTTTGTCGCGTGAGGGGCAGCAGACGCGTCGGATCGCGTTGCTGTCGCGACGGCTTTAATTGACTGCATTTGGCGCTAATCTCTTTTTGGACACTAACCATTATCGCCAATTCTTTGCGATGCCCTTCGCAGCGTCCTGTCGAGGACTTCGATTTTTGCCATTGCGCAAGAAGAGGGCTTACCAATGCCGTCAATTATCGGAATAAAGTTTCTAAGATGGTATCGCTGCTGTATTAAATTGATCCGTTACGCCTAACCTATGCCATTACTTGATTGCTCGGTATTCTTTGGGAGAATACTACCGATATATCCCTAGCCGTAATCCATGCCTCCTTGACTATTTACGCACCAGTCTTGGTCTCCTCTGGTGAATATGAGTGTATCTGTTTCAAATGTCAGTTACAAATCAAAGATACAGACTAGAGAACTGCATACCGACTCAGCCACGCCAAGCCATTCTTCTATACTCCTCACATACGGATCAGACGCCGCCTCAGCACTCGCCTCATGGCCCCAGATGACCATCTCGTCGAACTCTGCCTTGGTTTCCATAGTACCAAGCTCGACCAAGTCGCCTTCGGCCTCCTCGCCCTCCTCTTCGAGCTGCTGCGTCTCGACCTTTGCGCTCCTTTCCATCACCACGCCTCGGTATTGTTCTGGTAACTTGACTGTCGTGCCGTGGAGCTTTCTGCCTCGAAAGTACGCTACTGTCTTGCCATCTGAAGATCCAGTTGTCAGCGTCAATAATCATTATTCCTGTTGATCGAGACAACGCACCTTCTGACTTGGTAGGGTTCCAAAATGTATTGGCATCGCCGACGGGACCATCGTG